TTCGGGCCGAGCCTTCCGGAACGGAGCCGGGAAGATCCCTGCGGTGCGAGCTGATCCACAGCGGAGCGGTACCTGTCTGCTGCGAGCAAGTGCTCTTGTCAGTTTAAGACCTTGTGGCCCGAAACGCTGGTGATCAGGTTGCACTAATGGTCACGCCTGCACCGCAGCAGCAGACTGCATGGAAAGCACTCACGCCTTTGCACCCCCAAACCCTCAAGATCCACATAGGAACCACAAGCTGAGGCTCACGAGGCTTGAAAACGACCTCCTCGGCAAGCAGAACATTGTCCTGCGCCGAGCGGAGCTGGAAGGCGAAAGCGCAGAGTGCCGCGTCTGGGGCTCGGAGGGGACACCCGCTTCAATCAAAAAGTCTTCCACGGCCTCTCCTGGCGGAGACTCAATCTCTGGTCTCCGGTCCTTGTGGCTCCAGGCACCATTTCGGGGCGCGATGCCAAGCTTCAGCTCGCTCTTCCGCGTCAGCCGGATCTCAGCGAAGGGGGGGGAATTCCAGTCGAGTGCAGTTGATCGAAGCGTTCTCAAGCCGAAGGCCTCCTTGCATCTCGGCGATGCAGGGGAAAGCACCATGTCCTCTCAGCGACGTGTCGTCTCCACCCAAACAGAAGTCCACCTCAGCTAAAGCATAATCTAACCTGAACCCTCGATGTCCTGCTCCACCTCCACCGTGACAGGCGCGTGGAGCATTGCTCGGACCTGTTCGAGGGCTTCTCTTCCACGTCATTTTGAAACCTCTGCGCCACAGGGGTCACTTGTGGAGGCCTGCCACGCAGGGAATGCCTTGAAGGTGGTGCTGGCATTGATGCTCCGGATCACGGCACCTGCTCATGGTGGAGTAACGTGGCAAAACCACTGGCAGAGAAAAGTATCAGCCACCGTTCAGTCAAATGCCATTGAGCAAGAATCCTGCGCACTGTCCGCTGTGCAGTTCTACAGCTTTTGCCGTGACACTTGCAAGCCTAAGGGGGCAGCAGCCCAGAGCTCCGAACAATGAGCCAGCCTGCTTTCACACCGTTCTGCTCCGCTCGCCCTCCAGGCGTCACCACCTGGATGATCACGGGGTTGCCCTGGCACAGAGCATCCCAATGAAAAGGATCTCAGGGTTCATGGGTCGGCCGAGTTCTGAGATTGATTGCTGCTGCCTCAAGCAAACTGCACGTTTTGAGGCGAAAGGGTGGCACTGCGCAAAAAAGCTGCATGCAAATGCAAAGGTCTCAAGGTGCATGAACAGTTCAAACTCCACTGTGACAACGTGTGCAGACCGTGGCTCTTTGTGCGACACCTACAGTATGTTGAGGGGTACGTAGTTCAGGATATTCACTCGGACGAAAGCCGTGCGTTGCATGAATGCTCGCGAAAATTGCTGCAACAACACTGTCTAAGCAGAAGCACCGCCAACAGTTGGACCGGGGTCTGGAGTCTGCAGTCTACAAATGGCCTGTCCACCAGTCAGGTTGGCGAGGTCTATCTGTGGCGAGTCTCCCTCAGCGTTCAGGGGTCTCACTTCCAAACTGGTCAGACTTGTTGCAATGAGTGGTTTGCTCCTTGCATGCGAGACGTACTGGCATGCCTCGCAGCTGATGCTTTGCCCGGCACCTGGATATACCGAAGGAAGATCCGCCGCTTGTTGAGATTCCCGTTGCCGGATTGCGGCGCCGCCTCACAAGAGCTCACACCCCACTTGCCCAGCAGACATTGAGTCTTATGGTATCTTGAGCTCACATGACCATGCAGCGAAGAGTCTAGATCTCTCAGGGCTATCAGCCTGGTGGGCCCTACACTTCTAAAATTAAAACCGCAGGCTTCCCAACTCCCCGACTCCATGTGCCCAAGCGATGCCAAGGCTGGCACCGGCAGGGGAGCCACCGTTGCCCCGTTGGGCGCACCTCGTTGACCAAAGGGCTTTAAGCCTTGAGCATAGAATCCTGGCCGATGCAACCTTCGAGGGTGCAAAACGTGATTTTTATTCGTATGCCGTATGCTACTAGTAACACAGTGTTACAGCAGGTACTGGGTACAACTAACTCGGTAGGATGTTCAAACCGACGCCAACGAATGCAGCTGACTTTTCACGCGCCCATGAAACTACTCGGTGCCGACGTTTCGTAACTAGTACTCCTCAGGGCTTTGGGCACGATAAATGCTGTGCAATATAAAAAAGGTCACACGCAGGCTTCACCTGCACATAACCCTTCACTCGATGCTGCTGCTGTAAAAAAATTTACACTAGTAACACAGTGTTACAGCAGGTACTGGGTACCGTTCGCGCGCACAAGGCGGCCCGAGGCTCTCTGAGCTCCTGACCAGCCGACCACAGCGGAACTTCCGGTACGTTCGCTCGGCCGGACCTGGCGCAGCGAAAGCATGCTTGAAGCACGTCAGAACTGAGGGGAGCCAGAAGATCGTTATTGGTACCGCGTTGTGCAGCTGCGACGGGAGCTGGCTCTTGAGAAACACCCTCCATGTCCTTTAGCTTTCGTTCTGTTTCCGATGCCTATAGCAGCGCTTGCAAACACACTGCACCCTCCATGCGCCAAGCGCGCGGCGGCATCGAGCTGCTCGACGCCGAGGCCGAGGGCGCCGCTTGTGCAGCCTGCGCCCAAGTCGGAACCTCGGAGTTGAAGACTCTCAGACACTGGGAGTGGCAAAATGGACGAATCCTTCACTCTTGGGCTGGAGCAGAGACGTCTGCAAGCTGCGATACCATGGCTGCATGAGTCACCTCGCAGCCCACGGCGTGCATGAGCGTCAAAGGTCCCAAAAACGTTCTCGGCGTGACTCTGAGCCCGAGGCCGAAGCTTGCTGACCAGCTGCCGCGTCGCCTTCGTGCCTGCATCACACAGGCAGCCAGGCAGCGTTTAGCGAAGTTCCAAGGATCTGGTCCCTTTACCAGCATGAAAGCACACCCTGACATCGGTGCTAGCGGCTGGAAGTTGAGAGAAATTGAAGCTGCGAATCTTGCAACATCCTATTCATTGCTCTTGTAGGTGACGCTTGGGAACCGACCCTGAAAGAAAGAGACCCAGAGCGCACATCTGACTTGGCACCTGTGAGTTGGACTTGTGCCGGGCACTGCCAGGGGGCTCTTGTCATCCAGGCGATAGGCCTGTCCAACAAAAAGCTTCCCTTCACTGCTTTTCGGTGAGCGGACCGTACTTACATGTTGTTTGGGCCATAAAAGCAACATCATCAACTTCAACACCACACCCGGTACCATCGTTATCACCCCACTACAAACATCAGACGTGCAACATAAGAGCTACCCTTCTCGAGTCCCAACCCACTGCCCAGGCCTGCGGAGGGGTAAACGAGAAGCTGTTGATGCCATTCCTCGGCAGGCAGAACGGTGCGTTACTGGTGCTGCCATCAAACTGAAATATCAGTAATAGTAATTGCTGTGCTTGTAGTTGTGTAGCAACAACAGGAGGAGGAAGAGGAGGAGGAGGTCCGAAACGACAGGCAGCGAGGCCTAGGAACGACAACAAGTGCCATGCCGCGCAGCTTTGCTTACATGCTTGTTTGCAGAGTTCGCTGCTTCAGTCAAACGAAACTTCCAACTGTCTTTGACATGCGCAGCCACGGCATTTGCTGTGGGCACGGAGTCGGCGGAAACGCAGAGTCACTGGCACCACCCTCCTTGAAACTAGCCTTTGCATAGCATTTCCTTGCCGCCGCACTCGTTTCCAAGACAACTTTCATGTGAAGCTTGTGATGCCTTCGTCGATCCCGACGTCGGCCTCTGCCGCCTGCAGCACCAATCTCCCAAACCTCTTCCCTCGTGTGCAGGGCTAGCCGTACAATGACCTTTGGTCAGCCTGCTTTGAGTCAAAATCAACGGGGGCATGAACATACCCGCAATGGTTTTTGTCCCTTTGGACACGGCTGTGCTAATGTGAAGGCCGCTTGCCAATTTTTCACAGTCTTTCAATACGCTCCATCCGTGCTTGGCTAGCCTTTTGGGGCGCGTTCGCCAATTCTCCAGCAGCGGCGGGCTCCAGCACTGAACCGTCACGAACCAGGAGTGTATCAAGTATGTGATGGTGCAGGTGATGATGAAGCCGAAGCTGATGTCGACCATACGGATGGTGATGCTGAAGTTGATGCCTATGTTTGTCATGATGTCTTCTTCATGTTATGCTCTGTTCGTTGCGATGCAACGTTCTAGGCTGTGTTTCAGCCGTTAGCATGGAAAGGCAGAAGAAGAACCTTAAGCAGGAGCAAGATAGATGTAGGGGACCCACAGTCACCTGACTCGGGGCGCTGCTCATGCTCGCTGCGCTTCAGCGGCAAGGCCTTCCAGCCAGAATGGTCTTTGAGCTCGAGGCATGGCAGGTAGGCACGGCATGGTATCGTGGGCTCAATCGGGGACAGCCGCAAACCCTGACAAGCCATCGAAGCAGATATCTGATGGCATCTGCCGGTTCCCAGAAGAACAGTGGCAACACTCAGCACCGGAAGCATCAGAATCTCTGGATTTCTTCTGGGCAAAGGCGAAATTATACCTGATCTGCCTGGCGTACGAGGCCGGTGGGCTTCTGGGTGCCAAACTCGACCTTAGCTTAGAGCGACTCGGCGGGGTCAGTAGACCCTGCATGAAGTAACATAAAGTATCATTCATTAAGCATCAGTAGTAAGCAAAATAAAGCGTCATAAAGTATCATACAAAGTATCATTCATTACGCATCGAAGTATCGTAAAGTATTATGCAAAGGGGAGTTCCTGTCTCTCCCGGATCGCACTGCGACACTCTGCAGCTGGGAACTCCGACGCCCAGGTCCGAGTCCGCATTACTGCTGACCTGCGGTCGGCTTAGGGTTTAGGGTTTAAGGTTTAGGATTTAGGATTTAGGGTTTACAAACCGCAAGAAGTGTGGAGGGATCATGCCGCTTGCCAAGCAATTAAGAGTTGTGGCTGGTGAGCCTGACCTGCAAAACGAAATCCACCCGCCGTCCGGACGCCTGACCCGGAGACAGCGTCAAGGACATGGCTCACGCATAGCTCAGGATGAGCTGCCTAATTCCTAAGGGATAGGTGAGGCTAAATCTGCATCAATCCAAGTTTGGTGCACAAGCGTGGACTTAGGCATGTCAGGTCTGGAAGTACACCGAAACCTGAAAGCAAGACTTCTTATTTCCTGCTTGTCGCCTAGCTTCTTCACTGCATTTCACTGCCGAGGAGATTTTCAGGGTGTCCGAAACAGCCGCAAACCCGGTGAACCATCGGAAGAGCTGACAGCAACAACGAGTGCAGCACACACTCTCTCGAAGCACATCGCATCAGCGAAAAAGCACGAGAGCGACAAGTAAACTAAACAGGGGGGCTTAGGGATTGAATTTGAGTTACAATACTAAGGGAACCATACTATTTAAATGGAGGTTCATGGGTAGCTAGAAGTGGGGTCATAATTCGGGTAACCATAATCATAACCCATATTAGGGGACTCATAACCCCTCACCTATAACTACCCATGAACCTCCAAGTAGGCCCTAAACCCTATACCCTTATAGAATCCCTACAGATCCCCTTAAAGGGACCCCTGAAGGAACCCTTATAACTACCCATGAACCTCCAAGTAAATGGGCCTCTTTGGCTTGGGCTCATCGTCAGATCCCCAAAACCCGGTGTGCGCACGCGAAGTCCGGGATCGATGCTCCTACTAAGGCGTCGTAAATCTAGGGGCCTTAATAATTCCAATAGGGTTTTGGGGCAAATTTTACTATAGTTGTAATAAAGAACCACCCAAAAAATAGTATTAGTAACTAGTAAGGCCCCCATGGAAGCAAGGCGGACAGGTCCTTTTTGCATCCTGCGGGCATGGTAGAGCTCCTTGCTCCACGAATTTTCTTGTGCAGTGGCTCTGGGTGATCGAAGGAAGGATGAAATAGGGGCCTTAATAATTACGAATACTATTTTGGGGGTCCCTTATTATAATTCTATAGGATAAATGGGCCCCAAAACCCTACTCTAATCATTACAGCATATTAAAGCTCTCCGGAGCATCTGATCTGGAGCGAGGCTGCAGAGATGACGTGCCAAGACCTATCTCGATGGAGCCGAGGAGCCTGCACAGCTTTGCCATGGCTTTTTCTGCATGGCTCAAAAAGGAGTTCGATGACCACGAAAGGGAGAGTCTGAGGCGGCTTAGTGACCTAGTTGGATTCGAAGTCCGCTCGTGGAAGGCTTCCGTGATCCCAGTCAGTCATGAGGAGGAGAACCCCCTGTCACAAACTCACTCACCTAGTATGTGGATTGCAGCAGCGGAATCTGGGAATCATCTTAAAGAGGCGTGACATGAAATGCAGGAACACGGCCATACCAAATGCACAGTGCGTGACCGGTGTGCGATGTTTGCCCTCCATTTCGTAGCCGCCAAAAGCCGGGCCACTTCCTTCATCGAAGGTTCTGACTACAGCCTAGAGGGCTCTGCAACACTCTAAGGCGATGGGCACCGAATTAGTGGCTACCCACGGATTCAAAGCCCAACGCCCCGAACCCAACAGCCGAGGCAGTTTGCGAACAACATCATTCGATGCCTTGTTTTTTGATGAAAGGTTCTCAATTCCAACTGCTTTGCAGCCGTGGTAGCCTCAACGTGCAGCCCCGACATTGGGGGACCAGTACAACACGCTTAAAAGTTGTAGACGTGGTCGCGAAGGCATATTGACACCTCCGCTTGTTTCCCTTTTTAGTATAAGAGCCCAATGTCTTTGTTGATCTACAGATATCTTTATCACATGTACAGGTCTAGTACAAGATCAAGCCAGCCGTAGCACGCACTTCGCATGCACATGTCGCTGCAAACTTGCCCCCTCTAGTTTTATGGAGGGGAACTTGTGGGCAGTGCACAATGCACTACCTACGATGCCAGTCACTTCTCATCCTCATCGCCTCAAGTTCCATGCGGACACAGAAAGCGATTTTGTGCCGCAGACGAGGAATACGTACGGGACGATCAGGCTGGGTCTGACACGGAAAATGGTTCGTCCCGGCCAAGGCGGCCAAGGACGAGGCCGCTCATTCAAGGGCCTCCGCAGCCCAAAGAAAATGCTTCAAAGAACATCAAGTCTGAGGGGCCACGCTGGGTCTTTACGTGTGAGCGAAACAGCAGAATGCCAAAGAAAGCGGCAGCGGCTGGAAGCCTGTTGCCTATCTGGGTGGCTGGCTGAGTCGCTTGCGTACAACCTCTGCTCATTGGATGTTCGGGAAAGCAGGGGGAAGACTCAAAACCGCCATGAAGAAGCCGTCCCAGCCGTGCGGAGTCTCTGAGTGCCCGCACGGTGCTGCGAGTGAAGTCGAGAAGCCCTGCAACTTCAGTCTTTGGTTGTCTCAGACTCCACATCAGACAACGATTTTCGCATATCGTGCTGCCGTCCCTGATCCGAGCTTTGGAGCGAAGGCGCTCAAGCGAATGCTGCAGAGGCAGCTACCGCTCAACTACCGGCGTAACACACCACCGAGTCAGTCGATTGAATGAAGTGTAACCAGACAGAAGTACCACAGCTGGGGCAGGCACTCGTCGTGAAACGAAGACCGTCAAGCCTCAGATCTTTCTGTTGCCTTCATCATGACATTGTGACTGAGCCACAACTGTCACATGTTGTAAGCTTCCGACCAGCAATGGCCGAAACGCTGGCAACGCCGGCGAAGAAGGACGCCAGCAAGTCCTGATCTCGTTCGACTAGGTGACGCGGGCAAACTCGCACGAGCTCCGACCGCAAGACGACCCGAATCCCCCAAACGAAGCTGCTGCTGTCGCAGAGGCCAGAAACTGGGGCTCCCGGCGAGATGCGGATGCCCGAGCTCCATCCTCCGACCTGCTCCAAACGTTGGCTCTTCTGAGAGCTCTGCTCGGATTCATGGCTCACTAAACCAGGGACTGCTGGAAGAGCCCGACAGAACCGAGCCCGATGGCCCGCGCTTCCGATTCCAAGTCCGTCGAAGCTCGCTTTGGCGTCTTAAGGGTGGACGGTGGTGGACACGGTCTCCGCAACTTCGGCCGGATGATCGCTCTGGTCCAGAGTTTTAGCCTTTCACTCCCGGTTCAAGGCCCCAAGCCTGGGCCCATCTTCATAACCCCCATAGTCGGGAGCGCAGAAGACCGCTGCACATCGCTGAGCTGCCGGCTGAGAAGCTGAAACTGCTCCTGGACCTCCGCCGGGCTCACGAGCACCTTGGGCTACGGCTATAGCGGCGGCTGGTAGGAATGCTTGGCGCTTGAGCTCCCGGCGGGGGCGGCTGGAGCCTTTGGGGTCGCGGTGCCATTCGAGGCACCTGGCAGCATCCGGTATCTCGGTAAAGGGAAAATAACCGTCAGTCTTTCTGGGAACCGGCAACCGGCGCTGCAGACTTCCGGCTGCTTCCAGCATCGAGATTCTCTTCAGGAGTCTTGCACTCCACGACAACGGGCACTGTGGAAGACAAAAGCTTGAGGAACGCGTCTGACGTACGAGGCGGGGCGGTTCTCTCGAACCCCCATGGTAGAAGCACTATGACTATGATGCGAAGTCAAGACCATGGAATAACTACTTGCGGCAATAAGTGCCAGCGCAGCCTTGGAGCTTCATTTCTGCAGCCGTCACCTCGGGGCAGTTCGGGGCAGCTGGCTTCAGCAATACTACCGACTACCGAAGGTTCTGCACAGACCCCTTCAAAATTGAAACGGGCGCCATCAGATACAGTGAGCTCACGCAAAGACTGCGCACGGCGCTTTCGCTTTGCCCGGATCTTTCCAGATTCAAACTCCACGCCAGGTGAGCCCCAGCAAAGGCCACAAGCCTCGATGAGCTTCATGGGCCGATAACGATGCCGCCGGCCTCGTGGGCTCTCGTGGGCTTTTGATATCCGGGATTCGTCACTGCCCTCGCTACCTTGCGACGCCCCAAATCTCGGCAGCCCCTAAGCCCATTTCTCCGAAACTCTTTCGTCCGCCCCCGAAGTCTGTGGCAAAGGGGATGCCTGCGGAGCCGCAGGTCGTCGAGCAGAGGCCCCATTGTCGCCAGTCTGCCCTCAGCAGCTTTCGGAGGCAACCCGCAAGAGACGCCACCGGGGAGCCAGGGTTCGGGGTCTAGAGTTTAGAGTTTTGGGTTTAGGGTTTCGCGTTGGGGGTTTTGCGTTTAGGGTATAGGGTATAGGGCTTAGGGTTTCTGCGCAGTCTTCACTCGGCTGCCTGCGGGACTCCTCTTGACATGAGTGAAGGAAGTCTTTACGATATAAGGGCACGACCAACTGCACCAGTAGGTTCTGTCCTGACACGCGCTGGCAGGAAGTCCATGTCATGCACACTCTCATGCCCCCCGTTTGGCGTTGAATGCCCTCTTAACCGAAATGCGGTCGCACCCCAGCGCACTACATGGTACAGAAATGTGCAGAAGCAAGTGTGGAGAACTGGGCGAGGCACTCACCGAGACACTATTTGTAACAAGCAGCGCTGTGATGTTAAAGCATTCGCGCGCGGCAGCAGCAACCCCAAAATTCCGCGATGGGCTTCAAGCGGGTTTAACAACATTCAGGTGCTAGTCCCTGGGAATCGTGAATCCGGCCTGGCACTGGCCGCCGCAGGCCTTGACTTCGGTGAGGTCGCCTCAGATTTGGGGAATCCCAAATCCTCTCTTTCAGGTCCAAGACGGCCTTTAGGCCTTGGGGCGGGGTTTCCGAGGCGTGGGCCCTGACAGTCCTTTCCGATGCCAGCCTGCAACCACGGCAGAACGCTCTGTATGGTCTTTTGGCTGGGCAGAATCTGCAACTTAAAAAGTCTCATGTCGCAATAGCCGTGACAGTGTTGCAAAAGGGCATCCAGTCGTCATGACAGATGCGTGGGTTGAACGGTGTCTCAGGCACATCAGAACCTGGCAATCCAATGTGACCCGCAGGTACGTACTCCCCCTTGAAAACCATGTTTGCCCCGTCGGAAACCGCACAACCGAGCCCTTCCTGCGAAATCTTCACTTTGCGCCGCCGGAGCTTCTGGTAGGCGATCAGCTCACAA